GGCGCCGTTATCGACAACAATATGCGAAAGTGGCCCAGTAAAGATGGCGACGAAGGTGCCAGAAATTCGTTCCGAGGACATTCAAAGCGAAATCGTCGTCATGTCCAAGACGAGTACTCGACCGGCTTGCCCACCAAGAGGTCAAGGCACGACGAAAGATCTTCCCGTGAAAGTGAGCATCTCTTGCCCAGTGTACAGTGTTACTGCTTTTGGTGCTCTGTCTACCTCGTGATATGTGTACGCCAAATAAGTTGGGCTGTTGATGAGAAATAACTCACCTGACCCGGGTTTCATACGAGTCGCACGTCCTTTACTTGCATGTGGGATAGGGTGAACGCTATTGAACACGCCGCAAATACAGGTCAGCGGTGTATCTTGCATCATTATGTTGTCTGGAGCAACACTGCTTATCATCAGTATTGTATGACAGGGCACTCCTTATATGCCATATGAGGTAGAAAACGACATTCATTATGTTCGTTTGTTGTAAGAAAAGCACTGTCATCAGAATGGCGTTATATAATAATAGCTGCATAACTCATCGAAATTAAGGTCTTAAGGCGTATGCCGCTTGTCCGTCCGTTGCTGTCAGTGCATTAAATCTATTTCTGGAGAAATTTTGAACGTATTAACATGCCACGACTACCAACTCAGATTTTTTATGTTCTGCGGAAGTTTATGGAAAGTATCTGCTCTTGCAATATCGCTTTTGATAAGCATGAAATTCTTCCAACTAAGCAAATGATACGAGATGGATCTGCGACTGCAGTTGTTGAAAGCGATGAAGGTTTGCCCTTCTTAACTGATCATTTAAATATCTGGAAATAAGGAACAGTGCAGTATGCCGTGAAATCCGATTTGGACAGGTCAGGCGCTTTTAATGTCTCGTACATGGCATATCACAGTCTGCTTACATTGCCCATAACTTTGAAGTTTCAGTGTCGGATATTCGTCTGGAACAGTAGTGAGGTGGTTTTCAGAAAAATGCAGATTCTGTTGGGCTCTTTCATTTTTGTCATGGCTGCATTTTAAGATTTCTGTATTGCATTTTTGCCATTCTGAAGTCGAAAAAAAATCGAAATCAGGGTTCCAGTTTGTGTCTTGTGCTGTTTATTACATTAAATAGTCGCCTCTCAGGTGGGTCAAGAAGAATCACGCCACAGGGGACGATCGCATGAGAGTATGATCGTGCACATCGCCCATTATTGTCTGACAGACCAGAGTTCCATGTTGCCCTATTATTTGCAAGTCACCGATTATTACCCGTTTCTCGGGTTGTTGCGTCGAAGTGACGTGAGGTTATAATTCTTTGTTCAAGGGAATTCGCGGTTGCAACGAAGACTGTCTCTTGAACTAATTCGAATCCGGCATTTTTTGAGTTCAACGACGATCTCTTTATCACTCCCAGAATTTAGAATGTTAGTTGGAGTTCTCAGTAATGTATTTGTCTTTATGATTGAAAAACGTTATTAATAGATAAAGTTTCATACATAGTAATAATTTGTGAGCTCTGTGTTTTTTAAGCCGTCGCCGTTATGGAATATTATTTGAAGAGTATGAATTTAATAAATGATGAACGGTTTTGGCGATTCTCTGCTCGTTCAAGGCCTCCAAGACTTTGTCATAGATTTCTGTTTCCAGTCATTTTGATTCTTCTTGATCAGTGAACTTCTTCAGGCTATCCTGCAGTTGATCTGGAAGCTTTCACATTTCGCATTTTCACGATCGTTTACTCTCTCGTAATCTAGACGAGCGTCTCTGGTTGTACGGCGATCGGTTCTTCGGACAACTTTTCCTGCCCATTGCCACTGTAACTTCTTCACTGTGGCAGTGTCGTCGCAGACTTGTTTGTGCTCTGATCCGTTCATTCATCTTCCTGCCTCTTTTTGTTTTCCCCGTCATATTTTTGTGCTGTGTTGCGTAGTCTGCGACGATAAATAATTTTTAAATATCTTTTATTTACTATTCGAATAGTTAGCAGCGGATTTACGAGGGTACACAACCACTGTCCCTTCCGAAGTAACATCCATTGCAATTTGTGTCTGATGGTAGTAAACTTTCTGTAGAATGGATTGTATTTGGTGCAGTTGCCTCCTCATTTCCCTTTCAGATGACGAGCATTCATTGATCGTAGTTTC